TTTACCAATAATCATATAATAATCAAAATGTATTTTCCATTATCATTATCAATGGTGGAACATACATTTTGAATTTGTAAATATTTTTTTTTTTTTTAACTGAAGAGTTGAATGACTTCAATAACTGAACATTTTCTGATTTAATGTTTGTTTTTTTCCAGCATTAAATAAAAAATTGTCAAACTTTTACCAGTTTTTGACTAATAATTAATTAAATGGCTTTAAAATAATTGATACAAAGAATGAATTACAAACTATTGCCAATTTTTTGATTAAATAATTATCAAAATATCTGGAAAACTTGTTGGTGTGATAAAGTATAATCTTTATTACTATATTTCATATTTTTAAATTGCTACACTTATCTATCATATACCATTTTAGTATACATTTGATTTGTAACTGATGAGATATTTAAATTGTAAAGCTTACAGATTTGATTTCTCTTTAAAACTTTCATTTCTCAAATTAATTAATTAATTAATTAGAAAATTATTTAATATTAAAATTGTTAATTTGATGGAAACTTGTTTATGTAAGTATTAAATTCTTCGAATTGTTAAATTACTTAAGGATAATGCATATTTATATTTTCTAAGCTGGTATGACACATACAATCTAATAATTTATACTAGCATGACACCAATATAACTTATACTTGTCAGGCTATTAAACACAACATGAAAAAACAATTTATTTTAAAATAGCTGAAAACAAAGACAGAAATGTTATGTTATTATTATTTATATAAGAGTTTATATAATAATAAGATTTAAATGAAAAACAAAAGATTTATATTATGTTCAAAAAAATAAAATCATTGCTTTCAATAATCAATAGGTGTATAACCTGCTTTATGTAATTTTGTTCTGATAATATTCTCAATAAATACAAAACAATGCTTTATTTGCAGCATAAATGTAATGAAATCTGAATTTGAAGAATTTTTTTTGTATTTTCATCAATTTATTGAAAGATGGTTTAAATTTTTTTTTTGTAAAATTTTGTTTTATATTAGAAAGATATCAAAAATAATATAAATCTTAAAATTACTTATCATTCTTAGATATTAATCAAGTAAAGTGTGTTCATGCTATGAATTACAAGTGAAATATTTATGATAATAATTATTCTATAATATATTGATAGCTTATGAATTTCAACAATTTTTATTGTCAGTAATATATTTGAAATATTTTCAAATACATTATTTAAAAAGAAATAAGTATGGTACAAACAGTTGATCTAATTCTTATACTATTGTGTTTAAGGAGAATAAGATACAGATTAGTTATTACGTTAATAACAGCATAACTTATTACTTGATTGTAGCTACATCAAGATGCAATATTATCTATTTTCTTAAATTTTCTAAAATTTCTTGCATTTATATTATTTTTCAATACATGCAGATAACAGTTAAGTTTTCATTAAATTGTTTAAAGTTGCTGTTAAATCAAGATTTAAATAAATACATAAATTAAAAATACATTTAAATACTAATAATCTTTTCATTACTATCAGGAACTTTAAGACAGTATAATTAATTTAAATTTGTTATGTAAAGAATTTATTTCTATATAAACTGAATAATTTAAATTATTTCTGACTATTATTAATGCAGCAAGATGTTTCAGAATTCACTTCTGTAATTTATATGCTTACAACATTATTTTACAACTTTCAGCTTGATAATAAATCATGACTGAAAATTGCACAAACTAAACTTATTACTGGCTCTTTAATATTTGAATAGGTCACTTCTGAATGAGTAATGACTTTACTTGAGAAAATTATTTGTCCTTCAAAAAGTTATTTTTTGAAGAACAAATCATTTTCTAAGTCAAAGATATAAAAGATGATAAACTTTTAATGAAATTTTGATTAAATGAGTTTGCATAGTCATTCAGGAGAAACTTGAACTGAATTAATTCAAAATTATTAATAAGTCAGTGTACTTTTTGTTCAGCAAATTATTCTTTTCAAAGTACCATTTTTTATAGCCTATAAGATGCAACTTTTTTCTAAAGAAAAGGCTCAAAAATGCTGCCTTTCATCTTATATGTAAAGTTGCAATCCATAGGCTTATGAATTTTCCAAACAATCTTCAATAGGCTACAGTTAACTTCTACATAGCCTAACTTTTGTATCAATATAAAAATGTTAGTTAATTGAATATAATTTTCTCTGTGTTGAAACCATGCCCTCCTTTATGTTATATTTTTTGAGACACAATGAAGTGTTGACACTGGACACTGGTCTAGGGTCTAGTGTCAACATTTCATGGTTTTTAAAAAAACATAATAATAATAATAATAATAATAATAATTACATTTGTTACATTGTTTTTAAACTATTCCATGCCTTTGGCACTTGGTCCCAAAATCTTTTTTGCTGTATTCTGGTTTAAAAAGTACAGTAGACCCTCTATAACGCGGGTTCATATAATGCAGATTCGTATATCGTGGTGAAAAAATTGCGACCATATTCATATAAGACGCTAAAAAAGACTTGTAAAATGCAGTAAAACGTCATCGCCGATTCATGACACGACAGGATTGGTCGAATCTGGACCAACAGTGGACGAGCAGCTGAACTACTTACATGCTATGGAGAGTTTAGGCGGGTAAGTTGAGTTTACTATCGTCTGTACAGTATATAAATTAGGTACTGTAAGTCTAATACAGTACTGTAATTTTATACATTTCTTGTGAAAAAGACATTTCTTATTCAACGGCCATAAAAATTATTTCTATTAATGATGTCTCCAAAGTTCAACGAATTTTTCGCAGAAAAATAACTTATCAGAAAACACACCTGCTGTTTGGTGCGCTGCTCCGCGACGAAAACAAGCTTAAGCAATGGCAACGTTGAACGGTGCACACTTGGTAAGTAATCCTACAATTTTTTGTTTACAGCATAGTTTATACAAATTATTCCCCAAAAATTATACGTGTTTTGGAAATGTTGAGTCAAATTAGTCTAGAATCAATTAATTTTATGGAAGAAAACCTTTCAAACAACCATAATCCATAAACTGCACATGTGTCGGGCTGTGATTGGCTCATGTATTTAAGGATTTAAGGTATGCGAAATTCTAAAGTGGAACATATCTAACGCATTATAGGGAGGTTGACTGTAATACTACTACTACTATTACTTTTTAAATCAGAATATGATAAAAAATTTTGAGGCTGAGTACCAAAGGCCCAAGCTAGCTTAAATACATTAAATACCCTTTCCTAAATAAATAACTACTACAAGCACACCGGGTTGTATAAACAAAATTACGACTTACTTAAGCCTGTAACCGATGCAAAATCATAAAATTTACGATTTTACTATTTTGCATTGGTTACAGGCTTAAGTAAGTCGTAATTTTGCCTTTCCTAAATATTACCAACTAAAATAGCAGTGCATCTTACATGTGGTAAAATAAGGTATATATTTTAAACATATTCAGTAGTCTGCAGTTTTGGAGATTAAGACTAAAAATTTCACTTAAATCATAATATCTTTTGAGTTTTGCAGCTCATTCTCAAAGGGTCTCCAAAAAGCAAGAATTGTACATATTTATTGTTTTAAGGAAACTGGAGAAATAAATTTTGGTATATATCTGTAATAAAAATATAGTTTGACCAGTTTTATGGTCCAACATTTATGATTGTGACATTGTGAATTATCAATGAAGTTTATCAAAAATCAAAATGTATATATGTACTGGGTAACTGAATATAATATGATACTAATGTAGTACATTATGGACAGTAATTGGTATTGTAATGTTAAACACTTGAGAATTAAGTAATTTTCATCAATATAGTTTTGATGTTCATTTTAATTTATTTCTAGTTATGCCATTTAAATTTGTTAATGTTTACTATAAAATTATTTAATAAACTACAAAAATATGAAATCTCAAATTTCAGAGATTATTACATTGTTTTATGTCACGAATCTGACATTTATTTTTACTTTTGTCATTTTCATAGTAATTAGTACGCTAATTCAAATAATGGTTTTTATATGAGATAAAAATAGTTTATTTAATTTGATTAAATTTATCTGGTATAATAACAGTTGAATCAACTACATTAACAAAATGTTTGCTATCTGCAGTATGAGTTATAATAAATTATTCTATAATTATCATTAGATTTTAATCCTTCAAATTCTTAAAAAGTTTAATTATCATATTACAATCAATTTGTCTAGAATACTATCAAATGAAAATTTCCAGTATAATTTGATTAATTCAGGATTTTTAAATTCAATATCCATCTTAACTCTACACAAGCATCAGTGCCTGGCAAAAGTAATATAACTATCTTAATTAGGTTTAAATTGATAAAGCTGACAATAATTTATTTCAAAATTTTCTGATATTAATGAATAATTTTATAAGAAATAAAAGATTTATTAATGCTTTTGAATACAAGTATTAATTATTTTTGGTGATAGAAACAATGTTGTATTTCACTAATGGATCAGTTTCTTGTGTATGTAAGCAATAGCCATCATAAATGTTCTTTAGTTACATGTCATTCAGCAAATATTTGATCATACATGTTGCCTATCTTAACAGGAAATGCCCAAATCTTTTGTATAAATAACTTTTATTTTTCATTTTGACTAAGGAGTATTATTTTTGGTATATATATATTCAGCTTAAAGAAGTAATGCCAAATTTTTATTGCATTGAGACCTTTACATTTTCACAGAATATTATGAAATTTAATTAGTTAAATTTATTATTTACATATTACAGAATTTCTATTTATAATTATTGGCTGTTGAAAAAGGAATTGTTAAATTATTTTTAAATTGCAAGCTTCATTTGTATCATTTTTATAATTAGCTTTTTTAATTAGTTTGAATATTTATTTTAACTATGGATCTAATTTTTTTAACATAAACAAACTTTATAATTAGTTTTCATAAATTTTTTATTATTTTCACTAGTATAATTTCTAAAATAAATATTTTGATTTTTTTTCCAGATATTTTGTTTTTGCATATGAAGCAGTCCTAGTAATATATTGAATATTATCAAGGTAAGAATAATGAATATATCATTAAATATTCAATGAATAATACAGCNTTATCAGAAAGGGAAAGATCTGTTGTGAGGTATGCATTTTATTGTTTACGGAACTTTTTCATCAATTTATGAACATTTTTATTATTTTTTAAAATATTTTACACGAGGTCGAACCATTTTTATAAATTATCTGCTATATGATATACATTCATTATATTTTATATTGCAATACATAACAATCATATACATGTAGTTTGAAAATAAACTTTAGATAATAACATTTAGACAGTTAAAATTAATACATTTAAATTCAGAATAATCCTAAAAACAATAGTGACATAAATTTTAAGATCAATAACATAAGCTTGTATGAAACACAAGACTAATAAAATAACTAAGAACAGAAAAATCCTTGCTATAAGTGAGCATACATATGCATGTTATTAATAAAAAGTTCAAGTGGTAGTTGGCAAATAAAATCATAATTATGAGAAAAATTTGTTAGAAATCATCATCTGATACATGAAAAAAGTTACTTATATAGTTCAATTGTATGATGATTCCAAATTATATATATGTATGAAGGCAAAGATGGGAATGAAGTTTTGGATAGCATAACTGGTAATCCATCTAACAGGAGTTACAGTTTTTATTGTTTTTTCCAGTTTTAAATTATTCATTAAATTAATTCTGCTCATTAAAGATTTATTACAAGAAACAGTATTGCATATTTTTAATGCTAAATTATTCAATAATATAATCAAANGATAATAACATTTAGACAGTTAAAATTAATACATTTAAATTCAGAATAATCCTAAAAACAATAGTGACATAAATTTTAAGATCAATAACATAAGCTTGTATGAAACACAAGACTAATAAAATAACTAAGAACAGAAAAATCCTTGCTATAAGTGAGCATACATATGCATGTTATTAATAAAAAGTTCAAGTGGTAGTTGGCAAATAAAATCATAATTATGAGAAAAATTTGTTAGAAATCATCATCTGATACATGAAAAAAGTTACTTATATAGTTCAATTGTATGATGATTCCAAATTATATATATGTATGAAGGCAAAGATGGGAATGAAGTTTTGGATAGCATAACTGGTAATCCATCTAACAGGAGTTACAGTTTTTATTGTTTTTTCCAGTTTTAAATTATTCATTAAATTAATTCTGCTCATTAAAGATTTATTACAAGAAACAGTATTGCATATTTTTAATGCTAAATTATTCAATAATATAATCAAATTTTAGTTATAAAAACAGCTTATAAATTCCAGCTGTTTAGCTATAAAATATTAGGCTATGGTTTCTCATTTTTCACTATCTGCCTATATGCACTAAGAGAACCATTATTCCAGATCCATCTTGGTTCAGGGCTAAACATATCCAGGTCAGACCATACCAAGAAATTTTTGAGGTTGCTTGTATTCAACCTTGGCTTCTTTAGAGTAGTAATTCTTTTTAAGCTACATTCACTTCTAATTATTATCAAATGTTTTTTTTTTAAATCTTTTAAAATTCAGCATGCATTTGAATATGAGAATGTCTTAAATTGTCCACATGTTGTTATTTCTCATAATTGTGTAGAAATTTTATTAAAAATCTTCTAATCCGAATACCGGTATTCTTATAAAAATCATACTTACTCAACCTTTATTGTCCGGTACTTGTAAATTATTTGTAAAACAAACGTTTTTACAAATAATTTACAAATAATAATTGGAAAGAAATTTTATTATTCATTCCAATTTATTTATTTTGATTAATTTTTGTGATGTGCTCTTTTATTTCTTTAATGTTTTAAGTAATTTGTTTGCTATATTATTTTTCATTCTCATTTGTTCTTATGTTCATTAACTTTAATATGTAAAAATTTGATTTACATTTTTATATATATTGTTATGTTGTTCAATTGTTTGCTTTTTAAATGTTCTATTCCTTGCATATTATTTTATTCTCTCATCTAATGAGCAGTCTTAAGCGAGTTCATTGAAAATAGTTGTTGCAAAATGTTATTCATTTTTAACAAATTGCTTTAAATTTAATTATATTAATGTAAAAATTTGACCATCTTGAGATATTCTTTTATAAATTGTCATTGTTGGACTGATACTAAAAAATTTAAAATTGAAATTTACCACATTAGTTCTCAGAATAATTTTTTTTGTAAAAAAAGATATCAGAACTCAATCAGTTATGATTTTCAAGTTTTGGGTTTATATAGACCCATAAATGAAGTTGTCTGACCTGTTTTAGATTTACAAAATATCATTGTCATAGAATTTAATACATGTGATTTATTGAAAGATTGTTATTTTGAAAGGAGGTATTTGATCCAAGAAATATTCATTTTAAACAATGTATTTCCTATCATGGATGGTTGAGTTTATAATTGTTAATATGACTTGATTTGTCTTTTTCTTCAGTTTTAAAAATCTTATATAATTCCCATTTTTTTGCTATCTGAAGAATTTTATAACTGATAAAAGAAAAGAAAGGAATACCATTTGATTTTGCAATAGTAATTTTATTGATCTAGGGTAGAATTTGTTGATGATGATAATCCACAAACCTAATATAAAGTAATTTGACTAGGGATAGGTGGCCTAACTGCCTACCTCTAGTCAAATTACTTTATTGGCTTATGAAGAGCCTATTGATCTTCTGAAGATCAAGGAAAGAAAATTAAATAGAAATGAGAAGAGAGTCTATGTTTGCATTAAACCAAGGAATCAATTATTTTATATCTAATTATGAAATTAGCCATATTATACCTGATAATTTGGCAGATTGTTTGAATTTATTGAATTTATTTTCTAGCATTAAATGCAAGGTTCTTCAAACATTTTTGTTATAAGTTGTCAGTCTTAATATATGGAATATAATAAGACTGACTCACAAACTCACAAATAAAATGAGACACATTGTTATATGGAATATAACAATGTGTCTCATTTCCAAGTGCGGGACTGATATTAAAACATGACTAAACATTACTCTCATACATATATTGTAGTTTTGGACATTTATTTATATTCTCCCTTTTCTTTTATGTTTATCAAATATTAACTTTCCTATGAATACAAAAAAGAACAAAGGAAAACTTCTTTTCTTTTTCCTTTTTTATATTCATTATTTCTATAACTTTTAAATATGAGAGATTCCTTCTGTTATGCATTGTTTTTTATGTATGTGTTAAGCTTAGTTTTAATTTTAAAAAGATTACAAAAAGAAATGAATACATCTGGAATGTAAAAATTTTTATAAAAAATGCTGCCATGAAACATTAAGCTTGAATATAGAAAATAGAATTTTATCAATGCAATCAAACGTTTGAAGTCATTCCTCACCAAAGATAAGAAAATTATATATATTTTAAATAACAATAAAAATGTTCAAAAATTGATGAAAAAGTTCCACAAACACTGAATCATAACACACCTACAGACCTTTCTTGTAGGCTACTTCTGGAATTGGAGTTTTTATCTTTTCTAGAGTCGACTTTTATCAGAAAGGGAAAGATCTGTTGTGAGGTATGCATTTTATTGTTTACGGAACTTTTTCATCAATTTATGAACATTTTTATTATTTTTTAAAATATTTGTTTTGAAAATAAAATGTGATGAAACCCTTTTGCAAAACCTTTTTAAGAATTTTGTAACTTTTACTATTAATTAAAGACAATATAACTGTTTAATAGGATGTCTTTTGATTAGCCAAACTAGTTGCTTATTTACATCTGGTGCATAATCACAATCATCATTATTAATAAATTTTTAATTTTTCTGTACTCTTTTCATAATTGATTAAAATGATATAATATGAATTAATTGTTTTTATACATTTAATTTCTTCAATAAATTTTTCTATTATTTCTATAATGACGTTTTTTCTTCTGAATAAAAACATTTTTTTTTTTTTTTAAATTATCGTAACCTAGCACATAATTCTCATTTTCTGTGTACTGTGTACAGGTTAGAATAATGGGGCCCAGCTAAATATTAATATGGGCCAGATTAATATGTGGCCCAGGCAGGGTGATGTATTAATCTGGCCCATATTAATATTTGGCTCAGGCACTGTAGTTTGGACATCACTGGAATTAGACCATTTCCCCAATCTATTATATTCTGTAAAAAAGTTTGAAAGTATACAGAACAGTGCATTTAGAATTTTAGCCTCTGTTATTTAGTTGGAAATCATTAACATACTTCCAAATTTCCTCAGATAACATTCCTTTTTATTGTATTTACCAGAATTTTGTTTTAAATTTTTTATGTCATTGTTATATTAGTATCCCTATGAATATAATATGAGTAAAAGCAACATTTAATTTGGAAGCAAGCTTCCAATTAAATGTTGCTTTTTATTGTCATTGTTAATTTTTTCTTAGGTTTAATATTTCAAAATGTTAATAATTGTGATATGATTGATCATTTTTTTCTTTTGGTTAATTGACTAGAATATGTTTAAAAATTTTTTAATTTTATAGAGAATATTCTGTGACATTTGGTCATATCTTCAGGAGTAGATTACTTATCTGAAGATAAGTTAAAAAGGTCTTATGAATATTTACTCAAATTATAACCATCACTTCAACTACAAACAATAATGCTTGATCAACAACTAAGTAGCCAGAAAGTAATATTGATTTCAATTGAAACATATGACATATGCTGTTTTTAACATTTGTTATAACCTCCTGGTACTTTCAGCTTGTGCTCTGTTTTAATTTTATCACTAAAACACAATGCATTTGTCTACATATTTTTGTGAAACATCCTTTCTTGTCATCTCAGTTTTGCATTTAAAAATTACATAGCTGCATTATTATTGTAGTCTAATAAACAATTTTGTCTCATCATATCTCATAATATTAATTAACTTAACAGCATATTAATATTGGAATTTTTTGGATGATATTTTTTGAGTTAATTGAAGACACACTGTCCAAATTTATTTATTTATTTTTTGTTGGAAAAAAAATTAGTTTTTGGACAGTCTGGGTCTTCAATTAACTCAAAATATTTGTTAATATTTAGTTTTAAAATAATTTTTTTAGCATATAGCCTTTTTACTATTATTATTTTAATTATTTTATGCATTTTTTGAATTCTTATGATTTATGTTCTTTCAATAATAAATTTCATTAATTTAAATAATCTCAATCTTTTTTTTTTTTTATTTATTGCATCATCACAGATGTAGATGGAATGGCATGTGTCATCCTGTATTTAAATATCAACATTATAGATTGGGATGAAATATAGTCATACATCAGACTGTCTACATATTGAGAATTTTAATATTAATTGTTGTTAAAATGGCTTTTACATGGGATTTCACTTGCATATTCAGGTATGTTTCTTAGTATTATCTCAAATGAGTATTTTTATCCTAAAATAATTTGAATTTGAAAAATTATTTATTTGCATTAAGGCTAAGCCTTGTTACAGGGGGTATTTTTTCAATGATATTAATATTATACATTTGTTATTTTTTTTTCATCATTTGATATACATAAACATTCAAAATTAACAACAACATTACAATAATCATTTAGTGCTAAATTTTTCAATATTTTTCTGTTTTAATATTTTTATTTTATATAACATAATTAGTAAAAAAAAAAAAGAAAAAAAATTAGATTTTATCAATTTACTACATATTTTTTAGTTCTCTGGCGATTAGATTAAAAAAACCATTAATTTTATACATTTGATTAAACGTGAGATTGTTTAACTTAATTCTAAAGTCTTGATTATGGTTCGTATATAATATTTCATTAATTTCATATCTCTGTTGATATTTCTTTAATCCTTCACAGTCTCTTAGTATATGGTTCAAAGAATAATCATTAGATTTACACCAATAGCATTTGTCATTCGTAAAATCAAAATAAGTATTATTAATAAACAATGAATATTTATTAAGTCTTAACTGTATTAATAATCTTTTTATATTCATATTGATATTAGCAATAATGATGTTTGAAATAGACGGGATGTTTAAAATATTGATGTACCATGGATGATATGTAGACTGATATAATAAGTTTTGATCCATTATTATTGATTGAGAAAACGCTGATTCGATCATTAGAGAGTATCCATTTTGCCAATTTGTCTGAACTATCAAATAATCTGTTTGATACACCAAAAGTTTGTAATAATTTATTGAATTTATATTGCCATAGATTCTTATTGTTATCAAAGTTAAAATTTTGATTTAGCATTATTTGATGTAAGAATCTTATATTATCATCATTAGATTGTTTTAATCTATAATAAAATTTAATTAGTCTTTTTAAATAAAACGGAAATAGTTGGAATCTGTTAGTTTCGGCAGGAATTGCATAACCAGGAACTGACCTTTCTATTTTATATAATTTTCGTAAGTAAATAACATGGAATTTTTCTAAATCATATAATAAGTCTATTGCCCAAACAGGGCTTGCATAATATATTGAAGGGATAATTAAAAGGTTGAATAGCTTCATTTGTAGTTTTATATTCATCATTTTTAAAGTTGCGCATAAATAAATAGTATTGTCAAAGTATTTATTTTTTTAGTTAAATTTTTCAGATGCGGTTGAAAATTACAATTCCAATTAAATGTTATTCCTAAATATTTTATTTCATTTACCAAGGTGAGAGGTTGATTATTTAAATAGTATGACCTTTCTTGTTTTGGAAGTTTAACATTATTTCTAAATATTATTATTTTAGTTTTTGAGATATTGATCGTTAAAAACAGGGAATTCAGATAGTTGTTTATTATACTTAGTTTATGCTGCAAAGCTATTTTTGTTGGTGCTATTAATACAAGATCATCTGCATATAATATATAGTGGTAAATTCTTCCAGAAATTTGAACACCTTCAGTGTCCAGTAAAAATAATTTATCGATATCATTCAAGTAAAAATTAAACAAATATGGCGATAGCGGTTCTCCTTGTAATAATCCTCGGTTTATAATTAATTCTGGGAATATCTGATTACCGTAACTAATGTTGATTCTGTAATTTGAAAATAATTTCGCAATTGAATCTGAAAATTTTTTTCCTGAGCCACACATTTTCAATTTATTGATCAAAGTTGGAACATGTACTGTATCAAAGGCTTTTGATATATCTATGAAAGCAGAATATATTTTCCTGTGTTTTTTTTGTAAGTAAATTTGTATTATTGATATTAAGAAGAATAATGCCATTTCTGTTCCTTTTGTTTTTATAAATGCGAATTGAAATTTTGAGTTTAAATTAAGTTCTTCAGTCCATCGTTGGAATCGTAGTGCCAGAATAGAAGTAAAACATTTTCGTAAAGTTGGTAGTAATGCAATAGGTCTGTAATTTCCTGGATCTTTTCTGTCTCCTTTTTTATATATCATTATCAGTTTTACTATATTCCAATTTTCCGGAAAGTTTGCTGTATTGTAGAATGAATTAATTAATTCAAGCAATATCTGTTTTCCTGATGGCGGTAATAATTTTAAGAATTTGGCTGTAATTAGATCCATACCTGGTGCAGATTTTGTTTTCATTTTGTTTATTGATGTTTCTAATTCGTCGTAGGTAATTATCGGATCTAAAATTTTATTTTCCAGATTCAACGTCTCTATAATGGTTATATTACTTATAGCGGTTATTCTTTTATAATAAAGTGACCAGGTTAAAAAGTCAATTTGCGATTGATTTTCAGTATTCTGTCTACGCAGTTCTCGTACAGTTGACCAAAACAGAGTATTATCTTTATTTAATATTAATCGATGTTCAAGATTTTTAAAATATTTTATTTTCTTAGATTTTAACATATTAAGATATATTGTCTTAAGTTTCTTATAGTTTATAAGGTTTGCTTCATTTGACATTTTCCTAAGTTGTTTTAAGGCTTTATTTTTCTTTATTTTAGAAATATANTCGATGTTCAAGATTTTTAAAATATTTTATTTTCTTAGATTTTAACATATTAAGATATATTGTCTTAAGTTTCTTATAGTTTATAAGGTTTGCTTCATTTGACATTTTCCTAAGTTGTTTTAAGGCTTTATTTTTCTTTATTTTAGAAATATAGCAGGTAAAGTCATACCAAGGCTTCTTAAACTTATTGGTTTTTTTATTATTAATCTTTTTTATATTAATGAATTTTGTTATTAGATTTTCCAATTGATAATATATTTCTATTCCTTTTCTTGGTATAAATTTAGGTAAATTTTTGATTTTTTCACTAATTTGTAATTGAAAATTCAGGTAATCATATTTTATTGTTTGATACGGTTGAAATTTATTATTATTTAGTTGGATATTTGCCATTTCAAAGACAGTCAGGACTGGAAAATGATCAGATAGATCGCAATTTAAAACTTGAATTTTTACACATATATCAGACAGCAAATCAGAACATAACATAAGGTCTATTACTGAACTTCCAATATTAGCAACACAAGTAAATTCAGATGGATAGTCATTTTTTATTCTTCCGTTTAAAATTATTAATTGCAGTTGTTGAGTATTTTTTATTAATTGAAGTCCTAANTCATACTACAGATCTGCGACCTAGGAAAAAGAAAGGTATTTATCAACCCGCGACTCGGTTGTAAACTCTCTCTCTCGAACGGAATAGTATAATTAAGTCCGATAATATGCCCGATATCTCTGTATTTTCTTTGTTTATTATTAAAATTGTTAGTTGTTAGAAAATATGGAGTCCGAGTAAGTCACTTCCTCGTCTCTCTCCTCACCTCTACTCCGAATCCAATCGCTCACCCGCTACCGCTCGTGAATCTTTAGACTTAACGTCGCGATTTCTGAGTCCCCTAGAGACTCGGTGGTGTCATCCTGACAGGGCGCCAAAGAGGTGCCGACTCTATGGTCACATATAAATAGCTTACTTTTTTTCTTGGTATTTTAATACCACATGAACTTGTAAATTGAATGTTGCTTTACTGAATGTTACCAGCAAGAGTGAAGGCTGCTAACTGACTTTGCATATTTAGTAAAATTGGCAATGATGATGTCATTTCCATGATATCATCAATGTTGACCATGAGATATTCTTGTTTACTTAGCAGCTGAGAAACAAGAAGCACCCATAGTTTTGGAACAGTTTGCTAAGTTCCCTTTGACAGATGACATTCAAAAAATAAATAAATAAATAAATCTTCATTTCTTACACTCAACAAATTAAATTTATCTCCATAATTAGTAAAATTGTATACATATTTATATATTTGTTCCATAATTTTATATAAAATCTGACTATGTTTTTTAAAAATATAACTATATAAATTAGTGATGATTGGTCAAAATCACTGCTACATCAGTTGCAGCACTCAACAAAAACAAAAAAATATATTGATGAGCACAATGTAAAATCCAGTAAAATTACTAACAATTTTTTTGACTCTTGGACAATTTTATTCTGAATTCTGTTGAAATATAATATTTAAATAAAATATTTACTGTCATTTCATAAACAAATTGATTCCATTAAAGTTAGATTAAGTTTGTGGTTGCATGATTCCATTGCAGCATTAAATCTGTCTATGGTACTAAACAATTCCATTTAGTATTATACTGTATGTATTTAAATGAACCCTACTGCAAACAACTTGCATTTATTGTACATGTTAATACATTACCTTGTACAACAGTTCAAATTACTGTATACTGCAAAGGATTATTATGTGAATTTTTCTATTTTGGTTTATTTTTATAATCTGTATTAAATTTTTAGCTAGATTAAACTTTTTAAATTCCAATTTGTAGAATTAAATCACTTTAAATGTTTCTGTTCATTTTATTTGATGTCCAAATAGAATTATCAGGAATAATTCATGTTGTGCTCTGCATTTTCTATGTCTTAATTTATCTATGTGATCTTTTTGTCTCAGCTAAAAATAAATGCTACGTTTGATTTTGAATTTCTTTCATTTTGCAATTTTAAGTACATTAAACTGACATTATAATGACACTGATGTTCAGTTTTACTGATTATTTTATTTGTTTTTTTTATCAAGTCTATTTTATCTTATTTTCTCATGTGTATTTTATTTTTTAGGTTATTATTTTTTATTATTGTTGTATATGGAGGACAGTCATCCATTGCATTTTCTCAGCATTACTCTGTATTTTTGTAAATAAAATAAATACTAATATTGTAATACTTTTTGTATTTTGTACAAATATCAATCATAAAAAGCTCATTTTTTACTTCAGTCATATTTACATTATTGAAAGATTAAATGATTTTATTACATATACTATAAACATATCAACGTTTTTATTAAAATAAAATTATAACTGATACAATTTATGTGAAGTGTTAATCAGTGATAAATTAGGCAAAAAAAAAAGTTTA